AAGAGAAGATGCACTAAATGCATCTTTGAGCAAGATCCAAAATAAACAAGACTGCCTCTGAAAACTCCAAAGGAGCAACAAGCCTGACTGAGATATAGGACATATTAAGCCCCTTTTAATGTTTCTAAATTCAAAGGCTTTTGAGTATGGGGCATGAGCAAACCAGTTCTTGAGGAAGAAGCCAAACGCAGCCTTCAGATCTGGATCAGAGATATTAAAATGAGGAATTTAAAGCAGGACTATTAAAAGTTCTATTTGGTGCAGCTAAGAAATATTTAATAGTCTCATACAGAAGGCATAAGCTCTACATTACAAAATTTCTCCACCAACAGGCCAGGAAAGCATTTCTCATAAATTATTTGGGTATATGCAATGCAGCCCAGGAACTATATCATAGATTAGATGATAATCCTGAGATCTCTTTCCAAAATGTTGTTCTACATCAGCTATATATTATTTCATCTTAGAACCATGTTCAGAAACAAAGAACTGCCTTCTGCAATTGTAAACCTTGCCTAATAAGTATTCTTTTGTACAATGGGCACACAGGCAGAAGCAGAGGAAAGTTTCCAATTTCCAGGTAAAATCTCCAGTTTTTTAGTTTGAAAAGGCATTCCTAGAATTCCAAGTAATTGCAGTAACATTTGTTAGAGTCTGATATCAAAACAGAACATTTCAACCGGCTAAAGTGAACTTTATCTCCAATTGAGAAAAAGATTCTTAAGCAACGATCTTTGCTATTCTGTCTATTAGGCACAAAACAGACAGAACTTACAGTGATGTGGCTTTTTGGGAATCTCTGGAAATGGGTTTGACAGTCTTAGGCTAAAATTCAGCAATCCCTAAGAGCTGACTGGGCCTATTGTGACTGGGAAGAGTCTGAGCAAAGAACAAAGCTGGAAAGTGAGCAGGGTAAAGGAGGCTGTCTCAGTGATCTGCCTTGCTGCCATAGCGAGGATATACATTGCTGCACACTGCCACTGCCCACAGCTGGCACATTAGTATCCACCGAGCTATGACTGTGCCTGAGTAAGATCTGGGGAGAAAAGCACTTAATATTTGCCCTTCAGAGGCCTTCTGCTCAACAGAAGGGTTTGTGGTAACAGGCATTTGCTCTAAGGAAGGCAGAGTTAAAAAAACCCCACAAAGCCTAAATAACACATCCAAAAGAAAAGGAAAAAAAAGAGTAATATCTAATAATTAAACAAAATGTTGAATGTTTAAAGACTGAAATGTTCTTTTTTGTGGTCACTCATGTCATACTACTGTGGCATCAAAACTTGTGCACAGTCCCTGGGCTGGTCCCTGCTTCCTGCACTGCTCCAAATACTGTCATTTTTGCTTTAGGTAAGATGGGCTTCTCTAGTAAGGGTAAGAAGTGGCTGTTAGGAACATAAGCTTCTTACAGTTATTTCTACATATTTCACAGACTATTGGTGAGGGCAGGGGTGTGCTTCTTACAGAAGATTGGCTATGTTAAGCTGAGCTGAGCAAAATAAACACCATTTTCTTATACAATCATCAAATGATGAACAAAGATGAAGAAAACAGGAAATCCACATTGAAAAAAAAAAAAAAAAAAAAAAAAAAGACAAGTGAAAAGAAAGTAGCTTCTACTTGGAAGAAAGATGCTGATTGCCCCTGGGTCACCTTGCACATTAAGTGAGCTCTGTGAAGCTCTGCTAAACCTTGTGTCATTTGGCTGTGAGATCTGCCTGAATGCCACTGTCTTCAGAAACCTGTGCAGCTCTGAAAGGAAGAGACCTTTTGGATGAAAGCCCCATGTCTGCTGTTTCAACAGTGCTGACAGCTGTCTTTGTGCAGTGTCACTATGGTTGTTAACAGCCTGCTCTGCTGCAACTTCAGATGCTTTGCCTCTATTCCCAAACTGAGAAGTGAAGTGATACACTCAATAAGGAAGCAGAAAAAGGTGGTAAGAGGAAAATAACATGATGACATAATCCATTAATAACATCAAACACCTCTCTGCTTTCTCCTTCCAAGAACTTTTCCATGGCCCAAGTCACCACTGGAACAGCTGAGTATGGTGGGATTACTCCTGTGTGCACATTTTTGCCAAACTCCATCCAAAAGTCACTTCCCTCTAGTACCAAAAGCCATGTTTTCATGTATTAGAAAAATATACCTAACTCTTTAGGTAAGCAAGTCTAGTGTCCTCGTGAACATATATGTCATTTACCACTCTTCGATTTAATAAAGCTTCTAAGCTGAATGTCTGGTTGGAATACTGAGCAGAAATACACATGGTTGTAACCCATGTGTGCTGCTATCTTTTGTTTGTTTTTTCCACAAAATCACAGGATGTCTGATGCTTTTGTTACATTTCATCAACAGATTTGTATTAGCAGCCTTTGTAAAACTCCAGCTATACTTTATGCAAAGCTTATGTAAGTCCCCTAGGATTAATTACCTCGCTTAAAGTCCAATTTATTTAGCAATTAGGAAAAATTAGACAGTAGTTGGTGAGTTTGCTGTTTTGAAATGAAAGGCCAGAGTCCTTAAGTCTGTTCCCAGTCTAAACACTAGTTTTAGAAATTCATTATTTGAAAGTCTCTAAACAAGTACTTTACATTGCTATCTTTTTTGCATCATTTAGCCTCCAAATAACTTCCCTGTTCAAACTGTAAGCATACTAATCAAAAAAACAAACCAACAGGAATGTAAAATGTTTACATGATAGTTTTCAAAATCAACTTTTCCTTCTCAGCCTGAATTTGTCAAACCAGTAACACTGGTCTCATGAAATACATGGTGACACTGTGTAAATGTTGTGACACCACTGGGGAAGTCACTGGAACCACCAACAAAAGCTATCAAGGAGAAACCTTGTCTCTAGAAGAAATCCTACACCAGAATCATGTGCTCTCTAAAAAATAATGAAGACTTTGGCTCTGCAGGCCTCCCAGAGCCCTGTTCCCATGAGGAGGAGACCTGTAGGCTGCAAAGCCTGTGGACTGGGCAGCGCTGGGATAACACAAGTCTCAGCTGTGCACAGACAAGACAGCTGCTTATGCCATAGGGCAGCCTGGCCACCCCAGTGAGCTGCTCTTTCAGCACATTTACACCAGAAGTTACAAGAACTCCTGTTTTTGAAAGCAGCCTTTGGGACTTCTTACACAGTGTCTGCAGCTTGGAAATCCTCCTGCATATACCCCATGGCTTTAGAGTCCTTACACTATTGCTGCAGCCCATTTGGCTCTAGACTCACCTTTTAACTCTCACTCTGCCCATTTGGCTGTAAGGGTAGCTCTCAGGACCATTGGCTTCATTGTCTACTCAACGACTTCTATTCAACAACTACAAAGCATTGCCTTGCACAGCACATGCAAAGCACATAATTTCACAGTATTACTAGTATTCTCTGAAAAACAGCTTGACACATACAGCACAATTACCTGAAGCACAGTGGATGAACAACTGCTGTTCAGAAGCTACATACCAACGAGCATGAAGTGCAGATCTGGAGTGACTGTAGTCATCAGGGCTCCAGTGCCAAGTTGCCTTAAGTCAATGGGGATAGACTGTTCTGCAGCAGCTGAGGTTTTGGCCTAAAGGAATATAAATATATTTGGATATCGTGTTGCTTGATTAACTCACTAGAGTTCCTAATGTAAAGCTTGCAAGAGCTCCCTTTAGTGTACTAGCTTTTCTTAAGGGACATTTAAGGTTTATGTGACCCAATTTAAGGATCTTTTAGATATAACTCTGATGTATGCTGCGAGTTCACTTTGCCTCTCCCTATACTTACTATATTTCCATTTATTTGTGACAGAATTCAACAAGTGGATTGCACCTGATTTCCTTGTTCATTTGGTTGCACCCTTTCAGGATATTAAAAATCCCTTAATGGCTTTTCACATATTACATTGACTGTTGAAAATAAAGCCAAGCAAAGTATTTGTTGTGAAATTATTAACCCTGTCTGCTGGCTCCAAATAGTGGGGACTCTCTGGCCTTCCACAGTTTTTCTGGAAGAAATGCTCCATTAGCAGCTCTTTTAGCCCAGACGTATTTCACATTAACACAGTTGGTTCCTGATCTCTTTCTTCCAGAGATAAATACCCACTACCTCATGAAAGCTGAGTCTTGTGAGTATGCACTGTAGGGCACATATTTTAAGCTTTCTGCAAACCTACACTCTTCATGACCTTCTACAGCCTCCTACGGTCTCATCCGCTGGGGACTACATAACGTGTCCCAACTATGCATCTTGGAAAATGTCAGCTAACGTGCCTAAGATTGGAGGTGCAGAAGCGGACAGGGGGTCTCCTGTGCATTTTCTTTCCTTCTGGAGAACTGGGAAGTAAGAGAACTGCTCCCTGGGGTGCGAGCGCTTCAGAGCAAAGGGAAGGCAGCATTAGCAAAGGACACCAAGTCCTTAAGGATTCACTGCCACTTTTCCACTCTGAGAATTCCCTGAGAGGGCAAGCAAACCTGACAGGGCTCTCTGATTTACAGCTGTTCAGCGTTTGACCCTCCTTCTACAGGAACTGCCACAGCTGCAGTCCTAAAGACAATAGCCAGGGAGAGATCTACGGAGAAAGGTCTCTGGGAAAGTAGTTCACACTCCTTCCTCCCCCTCTTCTCCACTAAGAGATTAGTATTTTGCTTCTTGGTCACAGCGGGTGTAGGTAGCTGCTGTCCAGCACAGACAAAACTCAAAGAGCAAATGAAGACCAGGGTTTTACACCTTCCATGCTCAGACTTGGTGACAGAGCCACTCTGCCAATTCGATGCATTCAGAGGGTTTAAAGGAAAAAAAATAAAAAAAGGCTGTGCTCTATTGTCTCCGTATTGCACTGCCTCTTTAAAATCAGAAATGCATGGACAGCTTCAAGGTGCCTCCCACTGAGAAAAGGCTTTAGATGCATGCACAGAGACATCGGGGCCATCCTCCCCTGAGCAGCAGGGCAAACCTGCCTGGGAGAGAAATGATCATTCAGCGAAGTCCTCTGGCTGGTTTCAGTGATCCTTTCTCTGCTCCAGTGACAGCAGCACATTTGCGGGGAAGAAAGCTGGAGGCTATCCCCAGGGTGCCCGAGACCTCCGAGAAGATGAGAGCAACTGCAGGTACAGTTAGCTGATAGTGTTATGTCAGGTTGTGGGTGGTTGTGTTGTCTGTATTTATTTTAAAGCTGTTTCTTGGTAATTTGCAGGGAAACATGTCTGAAACAGATGCTGCACCTTGCTTTGACCAACACACAGATTTTGCATCCAAGTGCTTATTTAGTACTTCTCTTAAATGAATGTTCACATTTCCAGGCAGCTGCGGGGATGGCTTGTAAAGCAGTCCATTGTTTGAACTGTTATTTAGTTTCAGGCTTTGGCTTTCTGTTATTCTGTTGTTCTGCAACTCTCAGTTTGAAAGGCAATGTGGAGACAGAAGTTGTACAAGAGAGTTTCTCTCAGAAATTTATTAAGTGGAGGTACATCAGGGAATCAGGGTGGTTCCAGGGAAAGAAGGGGACAACAGTTGGCTATCCAGATGGCCCTTTGTAGCCATGATGGACATTGTTCAATAGTATTTCACACCCTGAAGACCTACCGCCTCGATGCAGAAAAAGTGGTAATGCCCCCCAATTCTCTTCTGGGAAGGGGTGGGACTGTCCTGAGAGCTGGGAGTCTGGTGTGATGATTCCCAGATGCGTCATGAGAAGATGCAAGCCGACAGCATTGTGATACAGAGTAGAGCCAAAATTATGGAGTAGATTAGATATTTTTTCCTCAGTGTGGAAAATAAATAAATTTTTAACATTTGGTACAACTAGCAGTACAAAGAGGGGAGCCTGCGCCTCCCTGTCTTCAAAAATTCAAGGCCCTTTGTCTTGCTTAAGGAAGATTTTCCTTTTCACCTTAAGAGCCTGTTTGGGGAAGCACTCTCCATATGAACAGCAGATTTGCCTTCATAGCAAAGCACTACAAGGTGGTTCACAGGATAAAATCTTGTTTATGCAAACTGGCAGACCTCCACTGGTTTGAGAGAAGCAATAATGGATTATGCTGGCTGAAAATTTGGTCCCCCTACTCAATTAATGGCTGCCAAAAGGAAAGTGCTAGCTTCACTATGTTCTTGTGTCTTGGCAACTCTTACTTAATTAAGAAATGTATTTAGGAGCTGGGACATCAGTTCTCTTTTCATTCTCACCTACCACATCACTCTGACTAAGACATTTAGAATAAAGCAAAAACTTTGTTCAGAAGGCACATCAGATACTTCTCAGCAAACTGAAGTGTCATCTCATTTTAGTTTTTTTTTTTTTTTACCTTGCACAGGCATGACAGCACCGTGGGCTTGAAGGCTGGCGGAGGTTTAAACTGGATTTTGCACTCTTCCTAGATTGTCATTTCACTGTATGCTGAAAACAAAATTTCATCATTGGTAAATAAAACTGCTGAGTGTAACAACCAGTGTATTATGCAACTCAAGGGATTTTATGGTAACAGAAGTGCCCTTTCACAGGGTATTTCTTCCCACTGTGCACAGCCAGCAATACAGCTGTGGGGTAATAAGGTGGCTATTGCTTTTCATCGAGCACAGTATTTTTGCTGTAATATCCTCTCAGGAAATGTTTTCCTCTTTTTGTTCCCACAGAAGGACTTAAATGAGGCTGTTACTCTATAATCTCATGGGGACAAAGACAAGGTGACTCACTGCACAGGAGCAAACTTTGGATGAGGTCTCTTGCCTGCCATCATCGTGCCCTGCCATCCTGGGTAATTCTAACACGAAACCAAGGACCAGCCAAGTCACACGTGTCAAAAGCAGACAGACACAGCCATGGAGCAAGCTGAACATAACCCAAATGCTACTGTCAACCTCAACTTTGCTGCAATCTACAATCTCCATGATGGGGATTTAACCTCCTTGCGAAACTTCTCCTTCCCTTTCAATTTCAGTTACAGTGACTATGACCTGCCACTGGACAGTGAAGACGACATGACCAAAACACGCACCTTCTTTGCAGCCAAGATTGTCATTGGGGTGGCTCTGGTTGGCATCATGCTGGTCTGTGGCATCGGCAACTTCATTTTCATTGCCGCTCTTGCCCGCTACAAGAAGCTGCGAAACCTCACCAACCTGCTGATTGCCAACCTGGCCATCTCAGACTTCATTGTGGCCATCGTGTGCTGCCCCTTTGAGATGGACTACTACGTGGTGCGGCAGCTGTCCTGGGAACACGGCCACGTCCTCTGTGCCTCAGTCAACTACCTACGGACTGTCTCCCTCTATGTTTCTACCAATGCTCTCCTGGCTATAGCTGTTGACAGGTATGTGGGGTGCTATCACTGAACAAGGAGATGGCCTGAACTTCTGGGGTTGGCTGTCCAGATTTCTAGGGTTTTAACATGCTCAGCTGTTCTGCAGGATGTTATGTCAAGGTAGGCACCATGCAGACCTGGGTATTTCATTTCATAAAAATCTAATCATGTGAGGGCATGACATTGTCTTACAGAAAACTCAAGTGGAAGTTACTTGATTAAATGTTTCAGGTGAAAAGAATGTTGATTTATTAAAATGATTTTTTTTTTCTCATAAAAACATGCTTGATTCAAGTGTAAGAGAGGAGTTATGAAATAAGGGAAAGAGGAGAGAGATAAATCAGAAACACCCAGAGACAAGGGTGTTCATCAGCACTATATAATCCTGATCCAAACCATACAACTCTAAGGAACCTTCACTACTGGCCTACACAGCTTTTCTGAGCCTAACCTTCTCTATAAACAGTGAAATAAATACTGTTCTGTGAGAGAAAGTTGATTCGTGATACAGAATTTGACAGGTGAGTTTCCAACAGGGTTATTGCCTTACAGGGTATTTCTTTCTCCCTCTAAGGTATTTTTCCCAGTTTTTGCTTTGGAGTGAAAGACAGTAAAACATAAGACTTCTATCTACTGTGCAAAATAGAGTTCTTATTCTCTGTCATGCTGTACTGAGCAAACGCAACAATCATTAAATTAACCACTTGATAATACTGAGGTCTTAGCTGGTTGCTCCAACCCAGAAGTGGATGCTTGGTAAGTGTGGCCAGCACTCTCCACTCCGTTAAAATACTTTCCTCTCATACCCTCCCCTCTCTCTTTACATGCCTCTCTGAGGATGGCACAGTGGCAAGCCAGGGAAAACCCACAGGTCATATATGGCACCATATTTATGGCACTGTTCCGAAAATGATAAAATGCTATACCAACCCAGTTTAGCAGAGATTTTCCTACATCCTTCATAATGGGGTAAGCAGAACATGATATCCACCTGCTACACTACCTCCTTTATGCTGCAGTCCTCTGAGATATCTCTATGCCTGCCTCTCACTCCAGGAATTTTAACAATATAATTTAATTGTATTCTTTCTTATGACTCCTCTTAGCCTCGTGCACCGTGGACTCTGATGGACCCAGGCGCTGAGGATCAGCTTCATGCTGACATAAATCTAACACAACTGACTCACAGAAAGCCAGAGACCTGCAGAGTAAACTCTTTACAGAAAGGCCATCACAAGTCATCTTTTCTGTATGAACACAATATACATCTCTGTATAACCTCTGAATATACATACTGTATGATTCCCACCCCCCTTCCTTTTTTTTTTTTTTCCAATTTCTCTTCTTTGCCATTTTATGCTCTAGTCTAATATTGCATAGTTTTTGGTAACTGATCCAAGAGACAGCTCAGAAGCAGTTAACCCTGCTGATAGCTGTATAGATGTCACACACTTATGCGTGGCTGATTCAGCAGTTACTGACACCAACAGAAGTCTGTGGAAAGACTGGGGAAGTTCAGAGATGTTTTGCCTGGTGTGGAGGAAAGGACAATCAGCTCCTATGAAACAAATCCTTAACTTGTGTCTAATAAAATAACATTTGAACAGCAGCTGGGGACTCAGGGTTAAGCTTCTAAACACTATCATGTATGCATTACCATTTTCTATTACTTATCTTTTCCAACTTCTAAAAAATTTTCTTGGAAAGCTCTGCTAGGGCATCCCAGGTTGATGAAGTAACATGGGTCATTGAGCCCTTATGCCTCCGAAGAAATCAGACGATTTATAGCATATCTCCCCACGCATCTTTAAAAACAATCCTGGAAATGATTAATCATTGAAGTTTGTTGTAAGAACACACACTGCTTTGGTTTCACTATCTTTTTTTTTTGTGAGCTTTTGACTTGGTAAACAAAGAGGAACCTTGTTCATTTAACAATCAACTATTCCATGTTGGTTATGTCATATGGGTCATTGACTTTGATCTCTAAAAAGAATAGGCTCCTAAGAAAAGTCTTCCCGTGTTTAGATCATTTAAAAGGGCTCACCTGTGTAGACAGGGTAAGCCTGTCGCACAGGATTTCCCTTGGGTAGGGCCCTCTTCCATCTTCACATGAAATGTAGGAATTTCACATATTTAAAGCCACGTCCACACTAAAAAATAATGCAATGTGGAAGGAGAGGATCTGAAGAGTAAGAGTTCATGTTAAGGGTCCAATGTCCATGCTGTAAATATTCTTGGGGGGTTAGCTTTAGCTGGGTCCCCTGGACTGAACGGCACCTGCTCTGTTTTATGCACACTTTTGGAGTACATCTTCCATGGCAGTTTCATCTGAACCCAGTTCATGTGCTGCAGGACCACTCCACAGTAACAACCGAAGTGTGGAAAGCAATGACAATCAGGAAATCCTCCACAAAAGCTCCCTTCTGACTCTCCTGCAGAGATTTACCCCATCCAGCCAAACACTCTGCTGAGTGGATAAGCATACTTGCAAACAAACACACATAAATTAACCCACAACCTTGTTTCCACGGGACCTGATCTAAAAATATTCATTTATCAGCTCCACAATGAGACTGAGTAATTCTGCTATCCCTTGACATTTTGCCTGCACTATTAAGAGCGATGAACAATTCATCTGCTTCCAAGCTCTGGCTAATGAAAAGCACCACTGACTTTCCATTTTATTTTAGAATTAATATATCCTGTGGATGCTATCTATGTATAGAATATATACAGGCAGAAAAGCCTCTGAATGAATGAGAAATTCCACTGTTTGAAACAATCCTTTGTGTTAAATACAATTGTACTGGAAGCTCTGGAGTGTCTGATAAAAATCTCCTTTTAGCAGAAATATCCTAATCTTTCTCGGACAGTGTACTCTAATATAAACCCTTCTTACTTATATTACAGTATAACTTTATATTTTTATATATATAGCTATATATAAACCTCATAGCTTCTTAAAAAAATCAACGTCCCCAAATTCGAACCAAACAACAAACCCCATAGTGAATGCCATTTGGTCCTAGCCCCTTTTTAACTGAATCAAGGGCAATTGATGGATCTTGCAAGTAACGTACTTCTATTTCTCGTCACTTCTTTGTGAAACACTGCAGTGCACCTTGTAGCTTTACAGTCATAAGGAGTACAAATACCTAACTCAAGTTTTATGGTTTGGCCTATTACTTAAAACAGCATATTTCAGATTAATTAGCAATAGTCACCTCCAGCAGATGAAACAAAAATTTGCATGGGCAGAAAATGGATACACAGTCCTTTGTTGGTGGCTTGAAAACAGGCTCATCTGTAACCATTCATTAGCATCAGCATCAGCTCTTTGGACCCCATGGAATAACCAAAACAATAGAAACACTGTTAGGTATGTTTAACCTCTTGGTAAAGAAAAGTATATTTAAATAGTTCTCTGCCCAGGGAAAGCATACTCCTGCTTCTACATGTGTGCCTTTTTACCTGCACCTGACTAGGTGTATATTACTGCGTGTTTCAAACTCTTGCTTGAATATGTGCCGTCCAGCAAAGAATTTCCAGATGCTCTATCATGGCACGTCCTGGATACAACATCACCTGTGTTGTGCTAGGTCCTGCAAACATATTTGTCAGTAATAGGAATATTCCTCCTCTTTCTCCTCTTCCCATAACTCCCAGACATGTGACCTATGTTAAAAAGGAAAAGTTTGTGACACAAAATTGCAACTTTTTCAGTTTGATCTTGTTAACAGGTGGGAGTTTGAGACTGAGGTCTTAAAATCATTCTCAGACACCCTATCATATGCTCAGATTTTCAGATTGCCAAGTACCTACTGTCCTAACAAACCCTTCAGCTCCAGAGTTTCTGCCTAGATTTAGGATCTCGGCTCTAGGCTGCTACTTTGGAAAAATTTCTTAACTCTCCTCACAAATTTGTCAGACTCTCTCCTTCAGAATGACAGCAATTTCCTTCTGCCTAATTCTGTCCACTTGTATTTTGAAGTGTGTTCTGACTAACAGTGTTTTCAGACTTCATTTTGAATGTATGTGTCTGTTCTAGGTATCTGGCCATTGTTCATCCACTGAAACCACGAATGAATTATCAAACAGCAACCTTCCTCATTGCCTTGGTCTGGATCATCTCCATACTTGTAGCTATCCCATCTGCATACTTTGCTACTGAAACTGTTTTATTTATAGTGAAAAACCAGGAGAAAATTTTCTGTGGTCAAATTTGGCCAGTTGACCAGCAGATGTACTACAAATCATACTTCCTTTTCATCTTTGGCATTGAATTTGTTGCACCTGTGATTACAATGACTTTGTGTTATGCCAGGATCTCTCGGGAGCTTTGGTTTAAAACCGTACCAGGATTTCAGACGGAACAGATCAGAAAGAGGCTTCGATGCAGAAGAAAAACTGTTATGGTACTTATGTGCATCCTGACTGCCTATGTTCTTTGCTGGGCACCTTTCTATGGCTTCACAATTGTCCGTGACTTTTTCCCCACCATCTTTGTGAAAGAGAAGCATTATCTTACTGCTTTTTACATAGTTGAATGCATTGCTATGAGTAACAGCATGATAAACACCATGTGTTTTGTAACTGTAAAAAATAACACCATGAAGTATTTCAAGAAGATCATGTTGCTCAGATGGAGATCAACATATAATGGAAGCAAATCTAGCACAGATTTAGACCTGAGAACAAGTGCAATGCCAGTCACAGAGGAGGTAGACTGCATAAAACTGAAATAAATCTTCTGCAGTTCTATCTCACATATTTTGGAGGGTGGGTAAAGCAGAAACAATGCCCCCCTCACAAGCTTTTCCCTTGCCTGTGGGAATACCCACCACTGGTGAGAGCCTTCGAAAAACAGCCTACTATGCATTTCCACCAGAACTCTTGTCACTAGACTGCGGTACAATCCCATAATTCAGACTGATGCTGTGCTTCAGTTCACCCATCTGTAAATCTGGGCAGTAGACACTCATTTTAGAGTTGTTTAAAATTTAAGATAAACAAAAAAGTCTATGAATGCATTAAAGCATATTACAATGATGGAAGAGTTGATTGCTGACCCTAGCAATGATGCCTCCTTGTTTCTTCTTAAGATAAATCTCTTAACCTCTTTGAGCTTATCATTTGTACTTTTAAGCTATTTGGTGTCCTTTTCCTTCTACTAACAAGAGGAAGGATGGCTAAAAAGCCCGTTTTGCTCCATGTCACTCTTTATCCTCCCAGTTTACCTCTCATGATGAAGCTCCTTGCAGTCTACAGACCACCAGCTTTCTATTGTCCAATGTGCAGCTGCTCTTAGGAAAGGCACATTTTCTACAAAGCTAAATATTGCTTCACAGTCTAGTGAACACCTCAAGTCTCTTCCTGTGACACCTTGTTTAGTAATATTTTATCAACATTCCACTCCGTAGTTTTATGTACAGTGTTACTCTGTTTATTATGTATTTGGAAATGGCACAGCTACATATTGAATGGACCTGTTCCCTCTGGCACCCTATAGCCAGCTTCTGCTGACCTGAGTCACTGAGCTCTTCACAGACTCGATCACAAAATGGCAGAGGTGGGGAACAACATCTCCAGATTGTCTAGTCCACCTCTGCTCATGCAGGGTCAGGTAGAACAGGTTACCCAGGATTGTGTCCAGTTGGGCTTTGACTGACTCCACGGATGGAGACTCCACAGCCTTCTTGGACCACCTGCATCAATGTTTGACAGCTCTTGCAGTAAAAAAGTGTTTTCTTAAGTTCAGACAAAATTTCATGTGTTTCAACTTTTTTCAGTGTGACCCATATAAAAGTGTAGCATGTTAGTGGGAGAAAATCCACCCTACTGAACCAGGCCTAGCCATCTTACTAAGTCTGTGTACACCTTTAAAATAAAGTACAAGTAGGGCCAAAATTACATAGACACCTTGAGATAATCTGTCTTTCTGCAAGCAATGGAGACAGTCAGGCCAGTCACTGACTGAGTTCAGTAGCTCATTCAGTAGCTCAGTGAGGCAACAACTCAAAATGAATTCTGCATTGCCCTTCCCAGTGCTGTTTTCACCCTTCTGATTTTGTTCAAGTCCAGGATGGGTGTTTCTTAACTGATACCTGTGATTAAGCAGGTGACAGTAGCAGTAATACCTACTCATTTAAACTACACATAAGATATCACGGACTTTTGTGTATTGAAATCAAGTCTTTTCTATTGTGATGACAAATGCTTCCTGTGTTAAAGTATGTGGTACTGCCTACTTTCAGAGTAAATGGCTTTTGTAAATAACTTGTCTATTCGTGAATTTAAATCTCAAATTTGTGAAGCAAATCCCGCTAATAAAACAGTAAACATGGAGTCAGTATCAGCATTGTGAATTATTATTTATATTTTTCCTTAGCCATAATTTTCCTACCCAAGTGACTAACATGACTTATCCCACTTCTGCTAAAGAAAAACTACGAGGTTAACCAATTAAATTTAATGGCAAAAGGATATTCAAATCCATTAAAGTGCTCAAATCCTCTTGTTATTAGCTGCTCTTAAAAAATGCACGTTGGAGAAGATCTCATAATTTGCTCTGTTAGACAAAACAATTACTGAAATCATTCTTCAAATGACATTTTTGAATAGGGATAAGTACTAAATCCATTTGTTTCCCAGCCTGCCAAAGAAATTTAAAGGACCAGAGAGTTGCACTATTTAATCATCAAGAGGCTTAATTTTGTAATTTCTCCTGAAATCTCATGGTTTCTTCTGAAACTACGCACCTATATTTATCTCCTGAAACCTGTACTAGTTATTGGAGATGAGCTAACAATACTACCTGTTCTTAGAGTGTCCTGATACTCCTTCCACCTATTTTTCCTAGACTTTTCTTGGTGTAAAGCCAAACAACCGACAGTTTTCCACACCTGGAAATCCACCTCAGGTAGAGCTATTTAAAAAAAAAAAAAAAAACAACCAACAAACTAACCCTCAACCCCCACCAAGCAATGTAGTACCAAGCAAAAGTTGGGGGAAATAATTGCTTTAACATTCTGGAAATCACTAAGAGCTCCAAAACAGCGCTTCTGGTCCAGCCTGCCCAGTGTTCTCAGACATCACTGCATCCCCGTCCCTGCAAAGAGCAGCAAAGCAGCAGCTGCCACAGCCACTATTGCAGATTTTTTTGGTGGTCCACAACATCGCTGTATTTTGACATTTTGAGGTCTTCCCAGCAGCAAAGTAGTGTTTCAGCCTGAACCACTGGATAGGGCAGGAAAAAAAGATGTGCTTTGCCCTAAACTGCATTTGTTGTGAGCAGCATCCCCAGAGAGAGTAGGATTCCCACTGAGGAAGGGTGGCAGTCCCCTGTTCCCTGATCAGCACAGCCGAGCACTCACATTGCCTTTTGACTGTGTCTGCACCAACTCCAAACACCCTAAAACTGGTCACAGGTTTCACTTTCAGAGACTAGCATCTGCTCCTAAACTGAGCTCCAGCAACCAGGGGCCCAGGGCAGCGAGCCCAAGGGCCTTGCATGGGGACAGGAATCCCATGAAGCTGTTTGGTCCGCACAGAACTTATTTTGTCTAAGGAGTGACAGGGTATGGCCCGCTCCATCGGCCAGGGCCTGCCTGCCACCCATGACTCCACTTAAATGGAGAATTTAAAAGACTCTTACAGTCACTTAAAAACTCCCTTTAAGTGCAGAACTGTGCAGCAGGGACAGACCCTAACCAGAGTGGCACCTCAGGCAGCAGGGAGCAGGCAGGCCATGGTCCAAGCAGAGCAGCTGAGGGAAGTGGCCAGACCCCATGATCCCAATAGCTTAAGGGAGCTGTGCAGGAAAAAAAGAACAGAAAGGCTTTTCTGTACCCACACAACTCAAGCTAAGGAGCATGGGTGCCAAAAAAAAGGGTGCTCCAGATCTGGGTGCTCCCTCATCTGGTGGGTGCTACCCTGCTGTCTCCTGCCTGGCCCCTCCCTGCAGAAACACTTTCTCACCTACATTGAATGGTAACATTTAGTGAGGGAATTGAATATGGACTGCACCTATCCGGAGCTCTGCTTGCAAGAGCCATGCTTAAACAGAGAAACAAAAGCATAGGCTGGGAGGAAGGCAGCATCTGTCACAGAGGAGAAGCAGCCCCTTCCAGCACAAGCTCCTACCCACTGGAAGCCAGTACAGACTGCAGTAAGACCTCTGCCAGCTGCCCACTATTACCTCCAGTGGCAGAGCAGCAATAAGGACTTCACCATGCAGGAACTGTGGGATGTGTCAAGGACAAGGAGCTGGTGGGGGTGAAGCATCCTCCTGAGAGCTGTTAGCAGGGTTTAGATAACCATGCAGTGGATAAACCAGGTGCCAGCATGTCTCAGTTGTTGCTTGCTCCAATTTTCATTGCCAAAAGCATAAACGTGGTGCTACCATGCCGGATTCCTGCTCAGCTGTCCTCCTGTGGCACAGCTCCCAAAACCATAGGCTCACTTCCTTCTGCAGCAGCTCCTCCAAGAATAATTGAAGGTAAAATCCAGTCCCTGCTTCTTCACACTGGCTCTCTGAAAAACAAAAACGCAGTTGTAACTAGAAACTAAAATGGTGACCTTGAATGGCTAAGAGAGGATTAAGAGAAGAAAAAGCAGTTACTCTCAGCAACAGGCACTGAGAAAATAAAGTACGTATTCTAATAAAGCAATAACAGGAAAAGAAACTCCAATCATTGTCCCTCAACCAAAGGAGGATGACCTGCAAGACCCCAGGTCAGGGTGGGTCACAATAGCCAAGGCAGAAAATTTCCCTGAGGACCGACTGACTCACTCAGGAGCTCCGGCTTAACTGTGCTTTTCCTTCTTAGAGCCTGTCAGCCTTTCTTGTGGCAACAGCACCCTCCAGCTTCTGCCGCTGCAGCACAGCACCACACGCCCACTGCACCACCCTGAAAACTGCACCAGCTCGCACCAGTCACCTTGGTGACAGGGCCATGCAGATATTCCCAGCATTCCCACACCTCCAACATGCAGCAACAGATGCTTCAGCTTTTGTCACTCGAGCACCTAGGCACTTACACTTCTGGCGTCTGCATTCGCTCTCTTCTCCCTGGGTTGGCAGGGCTGTGACCTTTGCTGGGTGCCTGGGCTACTCCCTTCCAAACATTTGATATCATCTGCACTGAAAAAAACTCACATCATTGAGCAGAAGAACGCAGAATTGAGACAAGACAGACACTACTCCTTCAAACACAACAGAGATTCTGTTCTCTCTCACGCTCTGTTAGGATCCTGCGCTACAGACTCCACCCTAACATGTTGCCAGGAAAAGCCCCAAAACCACAAATGAGACAGGGATCACTGCAGCTTCCCAAGTGACCTTCCTAATACCATACAGAACAAAAGAACAAGGGAAAAAACCTGATATAAAACCACCAAAACAATCATGAATAGTAAGAACCAACAGCAAGCACAAAGTTGCTCAAAGCACAGTCACCTCCCTTGTCCTGGTTTGAGCTAAAACAGAACTAATTCTGTTTTAGTGATCTTACTTTTCAGATAAGTCTCTTCTAAGTAACCGCACTTTCTGAAATCAACAGCATGTTTTTCCAAACAGTGACTGCTTCTAGCAGTGATAACACTTGGTGTTTATAGTTAATACCAAGGAAAGGCTCTATACTTGCTCCTATAGCAACCAAGGTCACTGCAAAATCTTGTATTCCATGTTGGGGTGCTGTAAGTGAAAAGGGTCGCAAACACATAAAAAAGTTGCACCTGCAGGAGGTGGACCCAAACCTGATCAACTACACATTCCATCCCATACATGTCACATTCGGTATAAAGCTGAGGGATCACAAGGGTCAATCTCTCTTCTTCAATGGACAACATCCAAGGAGGACTCTGTCCATTCTTCTGTCTTTGATCCTGATCCGTGCATCCATGAATCCAGTTCCAGAGTCCAGCCG